CCATCTGTCTTCCAGCTGCCATGGAGGCTACATAGGGTACTTGCTCAAGGAGGGCCTTCCCACGTTTGTTCTGGAATAGTGGAAGAAATGTACCTTAAACCATATTTTTTTAAAGATTTATTTATTTGAAAGGCAGAGTTACAGAGAGGCAGGCAGAGGCAGAGAGAGAGAGAGAGAGAGAGAGAGAGAGAGAAAGATCTTCCATCTACTGGTTCACTCCCCAAGCGGCTGCAATGGCCACAATGGGGCCAGTCCGAATCTAGGAGCTTCTTCTGGGTCTCTTGCAGGTGCAGGGGCCCAAGGACTTGGGCCATCTTCTGTTGCTTTCCTAGGCCATAGCAGAGAGCTGGATGGGAAGTAGAGCAGCCGGGTCTCAAACCATTACTCATATGGGATGCCTGCACTGCAGGCAGCAGCTTTACTTGCTATGCCACAGCACTGGCCCCCAAAATAATTTTTAATATATATACAATTACATGATCATTTTAATTTTAATTGTATGTTTAAATTTGGCATAGATTTTTTCATCTAGAAATCTTTTATTTTTAAAAGATTTTATTTATTTCTTTGGGAGGTAGTTATAGACAGAGAGAGGGAGAGACAAAGAGGTTGATCTTCCACTTGCTGGTTAACTCCCCAAAGGGCCACAGCTGGGCTGATCTGAAGCCAAGAGCCAGGAGCTTCTTCCAGGTCTCCCACATGGGTGCAAGGGCCCAAGCACTTGGGCTGTCTTCCATTGTTTGGAAATAGATTCTTAAAAGGTTGTGATGGGGGCCAGCAATGTTGCATAATGGGTTAAGCCACCACCTGCCACACTGGCAACCCATATGGGTGCTGGTTCAAGTCCCAGCTGCTCCACTTCTGCTCCCGCTCTCTGTTAATGTGCCTTGGAAAGCTGCAGAGTATGGCCCAAGTGCTTGGGCACCAGCACCCATGTGGTAAACCCAAGTGAAGCTCCTGGCTCCTGGCTTTGGCTTGGCCCAGCCCTGGCCATTGTGGAAGATGGAAGATCTCTCTGTCTCTCACTCACTTTGTCTGTAACTCTACATTTCAATTAAATAAAATAAACCTTAAAAGGGGGGAGTGGCGCTGTGGCTCAGCGGGTTAAAGCCCTGGCCTGAAGTGCCAGCATCCCATGTGGGCGCCGGTTCTAGTCCCAGCTGCTCCTCTTCCGATCCAGCTCTCTGCTGTGGCCTGGGAAGGCAGTGGAGGATGGCCCAAGTCCTTGAGCCCCTGCACCCGCATGGGAAGACCTGGAGGAGGCTCCTGGCTCCTGGCTTCGGATCGGCGCAGCTCTGGCCATTGTGGCCATCTAGGGAGTTAACCAGTGGATGGAAGACCTCTCCCTGTCTCTGCCTTTCTTTATAACTCTGTCTTTCAAATAAATAACAAATCTTAAAATATTTGCAAACTATGCAACAGATAAAGGGTTAATAACCAGAATCTACAAAGAGATCAAGAAACTCCACAAAAACAAAACCAACAACCCACTTAAGAGATGGGCCAAGGACCTCAATAGACATTTTTCAAAAGAGGAAATCCAAATGGCCAACAGGCACATGAAAAAATGTTCAAGGTCACTAGCAATCAGGGAAATGCAAATCAAAACCACAATGAGGTTTCACCTCACCCCGGTTAGAATGGCTCACATACAGAAATCTACCAACAACAGATGCTGGTGAGGATGTGGGGAAAAAGGGACACTAACCCACTGTTGGTGGGAATGCAAACTGGTCAAGCCACTATGGAAATCAGTCTGGAGATTCCTCAGAAACCTGAATATAACCCTACCGTTCGACCCAGCCATCCCACTCCTTGGAATTTACCCAAAGGAGTTTAAATTGATAAACAAAAAAGCGGTCTGCACCCTAATGTTTATTGCAGCACAATTCGCAATAGCCAAGACCTGGAACCAACCTAAATGCCCATCAGTGGTAGACTGGATAAAGAAATTATGGGATATGTACTCTTTAGAATACTATACCGCAGTAAGAAACAACGAAATCCAGTCATTTGCAACAAAATGGAGGAATCTGGAACACATCATGCTGAGTGAAGTAAGCCAGTCCCAAAGGGACAAATACCATATGTTCTCCCTGATCGGTGACAACTGACTGAACACCAAAAAGGAAACCTCCTGAAGTGAAATGGACACTATGAGAAATGGTGACTTGATCAGCATAGCCCTGACTGCTAATGGACAACTTAATACATTATCCCTCATAGTATTATTTTTTTGTCTGTTCTACTTAATATGACTGGTTTAATTCTGTAATTATCACACAGTTATTCTTAAGTGTTGAAAATTAACTGAAATGTGATCCCTGTTAAACATAAGAGTGGGAATAAGAGAGGGAAGAGATGTATAATTTGGGGCATGCTCGGGCTGACTTGCCCCAATTGGTAGAGTTGGAAACATACCAGGGGATTCCAATTCAATCCCATCAAGGTGGCATGTGCAATGCCATCTCACTATTCCAAGTGATCAATTTCAGTTCACAATTGATCATAATGAAAGGACTAAGAGTCAAAGGGAGCACATAAACAAGTCTAGTATCTGCTAACACTAACCGATAGAATAAATAAAGGGGAGAGTGATCAACATGGGAAGTGAGATACTCAGCAGACTCATAGAATGGCGGATGTCCTAAATAGCACTCTGGTCTCAGAATCAGCCCTAAAGGCACTCGGATCTGGCTGAAAAGCCCATGAGAGTATTTCAGGCATGGAAAGCCAAGACACTCTGGCAAAAAGATCTCTGTGAGTGAGATCCCAGTGGAAAGAACAGGTCTTCAAAGAGGGAGGTGCTTTTCTCTGAAGGGAGGAGAGAACCTCCACTTTGACTATGACCGTGTCTAAACAAGATAAGAGTCGGAGAACTCAAGGGGCTTCCATAGCCTTGGAAACTCATGACTGGTGCATAGGGAGATTACTGATGCCATAAACAGGAGTGTCAATTTGTAAAGTCAACAACAGGAGTCACTGTGCACTTACTCCTCATGTAGGATCTCTGTCCTTAATGTGCTGTACACTGAGGCTTAATGCTATAACGAGTACTCAAACAGTATATTTCACTTTGGGTTTCTATGGGGGTGCAAACGATTGAAATCTTTACTTAATGTACACTAAACTGATCTTCTGTAAAAAAAAAAAAAAAAAAAGAAAAGAAATTATCAATTCCCAACTTGACTCTCACTGGGATTAAACATGACAATAGGTCTGATCTGATTTCATCATCATTTAAAAAAATCATCTATTATTTTTCACTTTATGTTTCTGTGTGGGAGCAAACTGTTGAAATCCTTACTTAATGTATACTAAGCTGATCTTCTGTATATTAAGATAATCGAAAATGAATCTTGATGTGAATGGAAGGGGAGAGGGAGTGGGAAAGGGGAGGGTTGTGGGTGGGAGGGACGGTATGGGAGGGGAAGCCATTGTAACCCATGAGTCGTACTTTGGAAATTTATATTCATTAAATAAAAGATAAAAAAAAAATCAAAACTTTTAAACTAAATAAAAACTCTTTAAAAAAAAAAAAGGATGTGATGTTCCAAGTAACATCTAGGACCTACAGAACCTGCTGGGACCTACAGAACCTGCTGACGTCCTTCTTGCTAATGTGAATCAGCAGATTTACATAGAGGGCTATGGTTTTTTTTCAGTTACTCAACTCTGCCTGGAATGCGTGTGTATGCGTGTGTGTGTGTGTGTGTGTGTGAGAGAGAGAGAGAGAGAGAGAGAGAGAGAGAGAGATTTACTTATTTGAAAGGTGGAGTTACAGAGAGAGGGAGAGACAGAGAGAGAGAGCGATCTTCCATCTACTAGTTCACTCTCCAGATGGCCACAATGGCTAGGGCTGGGCCAGGACAAAACCAGGAGCCTGCAGCTTCTTCCAGGTCTCCACGTGGATGCAGAGCCCAAGAACTGGGGCCATCTTCTACTCTTCTCAGGTGCATTAGCAGGGAACGGGATTGGAAGTGGAGCAGCCAAAGCTTGAACTGGCACCCATATGGGACTTCAGCACTGCAGATGGCAGTCTAACGTGCTGCGTCACAGCGCCGGCCTACCACCTGGTATATATATTTTTTTGACAGGCAGAGTTAGACAGTGAAAGAGAGAGACAGAGAGAAAGGTCTTCCTTCCGTTGGTTCACTCCCCAAATGGCCACTACGGCCAGCGTGCTGCGCCGATCTGAAATCAGGAGCCAGGTGCTTCCTCCTGGTCTCCCATGTGGGTGCAGGGTCCAAGCACTTGGGCCATCCTTCCTGGGCCACAGCAGAGAGCTGGCCTGGAAGAGGGGCAGCCGGGACAGAATACGGCGCCCCGACCGGGACTAGAACCCGGTGTGCCGGCCCCGCAGGCAGAGGATTAGCCTAGTGAGCCGAGGCGCCGGCCCCACCTGGTATATTTTAATATAGTGCTTGTAGATAGCAAAGAGAGAGGCCATGTGAGTGTCACAAGACACACTTACTCCACAGATGGATTTCTGGGTTCTTTTCTCCTATCTGCTTCATGCTTACTGCGAGGGTAATGTACAGCAATCTGTGAGCTTAATTTCAGGCCTCAAAAAGAAGAATTATGAGAACATTTTATAAACTCTTACACTTAGTTTTCTTTTTCCTTTTCATCGTGCAGTCTTGTGATTTCTCTTGGGAGCACCGTGACATTCTTTGCTGAGCTCTTTGATTCCCTAACCTACTAATTGCTCCTGCTTGATGGACCCTTAGGAAGCTTGGAACTTCTGGTATTCAGGGCCTTTGGGCGAGAGGAGGTGAAATGTAGATCAGAAGGATGGGAAAGCCGAGTGCCAGCCTGGCGTTGCTGGCTTGATTACCTCCATAGGTTAGTTTGCATCTGGAAAATAAATCCTTTCTCAGACATGTGGTGAGTGTCCAGTGTCACTGGCTTCTGAGGGTCCAGTTTTTCCTTAGGAAACAGAATCTGCTCTTTCCTCCACGCGCCCCGCCGATTGAGCAGCGCTTTTCTGTTTCATCCAGGTGATTAAACCAGAAAGCAGCGACAAAGAAGCAGAAGGTGCGTACGAGGCAGACCTTGCCGAGGAGCTCTGTGGGCACCACCTTCCGCAGCAGTCCCTCAAAGACTGCAGTGACGGCCCTGATGTCATCATAGAGGCCCATCTTGGTGACAGCGACTCGGAAGATGGTCACGGCAACACACAAAATACGCTGCTGGATGGTGTCAAGAAGCTCTCCGTGTGTGTGCATGGAGAAGGTGAGTCCAGTTCTGCTGTTTTAGTACCTGATTGTCTTTTAAGTATTGGAAGTCACTCTCTGCAGTACAGAATCAGTACAATTGTGCCCAAATTCTGAGCTGTGACAGTTTTTAGAAAAGGGGGAGAATCTTTGACAGGCTTCTTGCTATGGCTATGAGAAGAAACAGAAGAGGTGCCGCTGGATGGTGTGAGCCATGGTCACTGCTGCCACCTCCCCACTGGGCCAGTTGTGTTGACTGTGAACCTCAAAATCTCCTGGGACCTCTGGGTGACGTGAGCAGAATTAGACCACTCTTTAAAACCCTTATGAAAAGACCTTTTTTTTTTTTTTTTTTGACAGGCAGAGTGGACAGTGAGAGAGAGAGACAGAGAAAAAGGTTTTCCCTTGCTGTTGGTTCACCCTGCAATGGCCGCCGCGGCCGGCACGCTGCGGCCGGCGCACTGCGCTGATCCGATGGCAGGAGCCAGGTGCTTCTGGTCTCCCATGGGGTGCAGGGCCCAAGCACTTGGGCCATCCTCCACTGCACTCCCTGGCCACAGCAGAGGGCTGGCCTGGAAGAGGGGCAACCGGGACAGAATCTGGCACCCCGACCGGGACTAGAACCTGGTGTGCCGGCGCCGCAAGGCGGAGGATTAGCCTAGTGAGCCGCGGCGCCGGCCAAAAGACCTTTATTTTATCCTCTGTTTTGCTGTAATTCAGTATGTTCTAAAAGTACTTCTGTCATTGATGGTGAGTGTAGGTCACCTTGAACTTTGTGAGTTATCTGTAGAAAGTATTTGGATTCTAAGCCTTTATAAAAGTCTTTTTCATTTTCTCTGATCAAAATATAAGCCATGAGTCCTCTGGATGCAGAAAAAAAGCAGAGACATAGCAGCCACGAGCTGTGTCCCAGGGCCCTGCCCGACCGTGCGCTCTGAGAGCTGTGTCCCAGGGCCCTGCCCGACCGTGCGCTCTGAGAGCTGTGTCCCAGGGCCCTGCCCGACCGTGTGCTCTGAGAGCTGTGTCCCAGGGCCCTGCCCGACCGTGTGCTCTGAGAGCTGTGTCCCAGGGCCCTGCCCACTCTGTGCTCTGAGAGCTGTGTCCCAGGGCCCTGCCCGACCGTGTGCTCTGAGAGCTGTGTCCCAGGGCCCTGCCCGACCGTGTGCTCTGAGAGCTGTGTCCCAGGGCCCTGCCCGACTGTGTGCTCTGAGAGCTGTGTCTGAGGGCCCTGCCTGACCGTGTTCTCTGAGAGCTGTGTCCCAGGGCCCTGCCTGACCGTGTTCTCTGAGAGCTGTGTCCCAGGGCCCTGCCCGACCGTGTGCTCTGAGAGCTGTGTCCCAGGGCCCTGCCCGACTGTGTGCTCTGAGAGCTGTGTCTGAGGGCCCTGCCTGACCGTGTTCTCTGAGAGCTGTGTCCCAGGGCCCTGCCTGACCGTGTTCTCTGAGAGCTGTGTCCCAGGGCCCTGCCTGACCATGCGCTCTGAGAGCTGTGTCCCAGGGCCCTGCCTGACCGTGTTCTCTGAGAGCTGTGTCCCAGGGCCCTGCCTGACCGTGTTCTCTGAGAGCTGTGTCCCAGGGCCCTGCCTGACCATGCGCTCTGAGAGCTGTGTCCCAGGGCCCTGCCTGACCGTGTGCTCTGAGAGCTGTGTCCCAGGGCCCTGCCTGACCGTGTGCTCTGAGAGCTGTGTCCCAGGGCCCTGCCCACTCTGTGCTCTGGGGACCATTAGGGAAGGGAACATTGACACTCAGGGCATTTGAGCGTCTAGGTTGCTAAGAGTTGTGGGTGTAAGGAGTGTGTTTTCCAGCAAGTTGAGTTTTATGAGTCTATGAAATGGAAAAGATGAAGCAGGCCATCCTGGCCGGGCTGACTAGGTAATGAGCTTGCTATCAGGAAGGAGTTTCTGGCACAGTCTTCATGAAAGACTCGAAGAAATGCCAGACGATTACTCAGGGAGGATGTTGAGCAGACAACCTGTTTCAGGGCTGGCGAGCACACCTCACTCTCCTGCAGGAACCTGGAGACGGATCACCCCGTTTGCCTCCCCTGCGGATGGGAGAGTCTGAAGCAGAAAGCAGACTCCACTCTCACGTCACAACCATCAACACAGAAGACTTCCATGGCCTCCAAGCTGGGTTTTCTTCCCACCAGCAGGCAGGCAGGCAGGCAAGCAAGCAGCGCTGTGGTGGACCCCAGCGGGGCGTCCTCTGCTGCGAGTCCGTTCTGGCGCTGGCTACCTGGAGTCGGCGTCGTGGCCCCCAGGTGAGGGCTCGGTCCTCAAGCCTGCCCCCTCCCCCAAACCAGTTGCAAGGCCCAGGCAGTTTTACCTGTTTGCCATCCAGCGGCCATAGACTGGTTTCCGTGACCTCCTTCTTGGGTCAGTTAATTTGCTCAAGCAGTTCACAGAACCCTGGGAAACACCTTTGCCAGTTTATTATGAAGGTAGTTGTACTCCAAAGGACAGAGATGAGGAGATGCACAGAGTGTGGGGTGGGGAGGGTGCAGAGCCCCCATGCCCTCTGAGGCACACCCCCTGCAGGGTCTCCACGTGTTCAGCTGTCTGCGAGCTCTCCAAATCCTGTCCTTCTGGATTTCTTAGACTTCATCACATAGGCGTGACTGAAGTGTTGAAATGTGACTGGACAAAATGGCCACGATCAAGTGCTGGTAGATGGGGTGGGGAAATTCAGCAAGGCCTGTTGGTTGGGATTCTTCAGCCTTCCTTCCTCACCCGTATGGGCAGGGCCCCTTCTGAAATGGGGGTCTTATCATCCACTGTCAGACAGGTAGGTCCGAGAATTCCTTCATGCTTAGCAGCTCTAAGGGAGGGGATTAGACTTCCTGTGACGTGCCTTGGAGAAGGCGTTACAAGCTAGGAACAATGGATGGAAATCAAAACCTGGAATATCGCGCGTAGTGACCTGGGCTGGAGAGCCTCTTCTGAAAGCACTTGACCTTTTTGGTGCCAAGTAACTCTCATTTGGAATGACTTTCCAACTTTGACATTTTTTTGAGTGATGAGGCCGCTGTTTCCTGTCAGGTGGTGCTACCTACCCTGACCTGTGCCCCCAGGCCTCTCTTTGTCATGACGTATGTAGGTAACTGGTAGTTTCGCTGTTCAGGGCTCACCAATGTCATGTGGACGCTATTCTTTGAAATCTCATTCTTCTGATATTTCTTCTTTTTTTCTTTCAAGGTTGTTGAATACCATGACTCTTATTAAAGTACGTATGTGTTCTTATAACAGTATTAGGACTGTGAGTTGTGTCTTTTCAAGAAGAGAGGGAAATAACCAAGACTCTAAATAGCCAAATCCTTCATCAGCAAGACCACCAAGGAAGAGAGATGTCTACAGGAGGAAGTCAGGCAGAGCCTCACTTTACGATGAATCGAGGGGAAGAGGTGATTAGTGGGTACTGGGTTATAGCTAGATAGAAGTAAGAAGTTCTGGGCTTCCATTGCATAGCAGGATGTTTCAGTGTACTGTGTGTATTTCTCTATAAACAAGCAAACTAGAAGATAGGATTTTAGATGTCTTCACTATGAAGAAATGTTAAGTTTGGAAAAGAAATGTATTTATCCTGATTGGACGCTACACAATGCCTAGCTGTACCAAAACATCACACAGTACCCCATAAATATGTACAATTTTTATGTCTTTAAAATTTTTTTTTCCAAATTGTATTGAGTATTTGGTTCAGAAGTGGAAACCAAGCTCTGGCGATTGGATTTGGCAGATCTCAGCACCCTCTTTTCCCCTGGGCTCCAAACTGAAGGGATAAGGTGGCTTGATCTCTCATTCATGGTTGATGCAGATAGTAGGGCGGAGAAATATTGGTGGATGGAAGTGATAGGAGAATTGATGCTTAGGTTGGGTGCTAACAGTTCACTCTGCCCTTGGGGAAATGATGCCAGACCTGCTTTCTATTTGCCCTCTGCCATACTTCCCTGCCCTCTTTCTTAGAATAAGTAAGTATCATGGAGAGCTTTGTAAGGCCACCGTGTGCATGGTGTTTTCATATTCTTTGTACGTTCTTCCTAGTCCACTGTTATTTATACTGCTTTCTTAGTAGCCCTGACTGAGGGAACGGCCTTAATCCTTCCCCCAGGATCTGGTACGGATTTCTCTTTCCTGCTAGCCTCTAAATAGAGAGTTTGTGAAACCACATGGCTGTTTCTCATTTCTTGCCCTCTTGATATTTAGGAAAATTGCAATTTGCTCTTTTAAAAATCATAGTTTTTTTTAGGATATTTCAACCAGCTTCTCTTGCTCACGATAATATAAAATCTGGTTACAGTTAAGATGTTAGTACTTTCTGCACCATTTAAGGTTTTGAAATTGTTATTGAAACAAACCATAACCTTAGGAACACCATAAACTTTTCCTAAGACTTCTAGAAAGGTTCTTTGCTTTGTATTGTATTTGCAAGCATATTAAGCAATGCAGTTCATGCCTATGTCCGAAAGTGTTTTTGTTACTTTTTGTTTTCCTATCACGATTCTACCCAGAGCACATGTTGCATGTTGCATGTGCATGCAGAGTTTATCCCTGTTTCCAGGAAACATGTCTTCCTGGTAAGCACTAGCTTCCCTGGGAGTGGTCTACACGTGCATCTAAGACCTCACAGTCCTTTCTTAGGAGAATGGCGTGGATCTGCGTCCTCCTCACCGCTGAGAGCTGGTGGGCCCAAGACTGGGCCCCTTTGACAGTCTCACAGTCCTTTGCAACAGCGTTTTTAACCACCTTTCCGTCTGCATAGAGACTGGGGACAGCCCAGTTAAGTTTTCCTTGTTACCAAATGTATTAATGGCTTCAGAAGTGTGTGGCTAATGGTTGCTTGGTTAGCATACTCCAAAGAATAGAAATGGCCATGTCCAAGTGATACAGTAGCTCTGTATCTTTCATCACCAGCAAATGTCAGAACAGTTTTGGCCTCTGAATCTGATGATCGTGACCTAATGAGGCTATGGTGTGCATTTCCTGCCCTCTGCCCCAGCAGGGTTTGCCAGGGATCTTTTCCA